GCAAAATTTAAAAAAAAAAAATATTGTGGAATGATAGAGAATCTTTTCCCGAATGTAATGACACCAAAAGAATGAAATTTGATGAAAAACTGACAGAATTACGCTCTCGTGAAGTTAGCGACCTCAGCGATATTTATGAATCGGCGATTTCGCCCACTTTGAATCCTATTTTCAGCTAATTCCATTGTTCCAGTCGACCAAACTCACAGCTATTTCTTTAGAACTCCATTTTTACTATCGACTGAGTACAAGAAACTGCCCATTTACTGATTTCAACTGCCCAATAACGTGGTAAGAAATTTGGAATTGGGCCAATTTCACGAAAATTAAAAAACATGACAATTTCAAAATAGGGTCCAGAATGAGCAATGCAGACATTCCTGGCTCTAAAATAACATTTTCTATGTTCATCAGTCACGTCTCCAGGCCCCTCTGATATTACTCTTGCTTTCTATTCTGAATTTTTATTCAAACAAAAAATAAAAGATTTACTGTTATGCAGTCTACTGCAATATTGTAATAATTGTATAAATAATGTCAACCCATTCATGACTGCATATTAGAAAGGCTACTTGGACATTTATTGCAAAATGACATCATTTGTTTACTTTTGAACATAGGCAAAATCAAACATTTCCCCTACTTTGAGCTTCATTTCAAGGTTATTTTCATAGTAAAACCAATCAAAATCACCTCTACTTCTATAATATGTTTTCCATTCTATCTAATGAGGCCAAGAAAATGTGAATACAACTATAGATACTATACGAAAATAGACCACAAAGTCGGCATTTTAATTAAAAAAAATGGTCGGAGTTTTTTTTTTCATCATTATGCACTGTGTGCTGCAGGATTTTTTTTATATGGTGCACACTGACCACACAGACCCATTCTCTCACATGTGGGCCTACCAGCTTTCTCCTGCTTGATTTGAAGCCGCTAGAATTGAGTATATTACCTGGAGTTTACCTGGAGAGAGTTTCGGGGGTCAACGCCCCCGCGGCACGGTCTGTGACCAGGCCTCCTGGTGGATCAGCGCCTGATCAACCAGGCTGTTGCTGCTGGCTGCACGCAAACCAACGTACGAGCCACAGCCCGGCTGATCAGGAACTGACTTTAGGTGCTTGTCCAGTGCCAGCTTGAAGACTGCCAGGGGTCTGTTGGTAATCCCCCTTATGTGTGCTGGGAGGCAGTTGAACAGTCTCGGGCCCCTGACACTTATTGTATGGTCTCTTAACGTGCTAGTGACACCCCTGCTTTTCATTGGGGGGATGGTGCATCGTCTGCCAAGTCTTTTGCTTTCGTAGTGAGTGATTTTCGTGTGCAAGTTCGGTACTAGTCCCTCTAGGATTTTCCAGGTGTATATAATCATGTATCTCTCCCTCCTACGTCAAAAATGGTGGCTCGTAAGATGTATATATGCAACCGAAACAGTCAAAGGGTTAAACATTGTAGTTTTTAACTGCTATCTCATCTTCCAAAACATCCCTTATGTGTGTTTCTGTAAATGTTCTAAACGTAACATTCACCTCTGTAAGGCACCCATATACATAGCCAACTTTTTTCATTTCTTGTTTTCAAATCTTGTATGTTTGCAATAAGATGTTTAGATTTAGTGCGGGTTTTCCTAGCACTGCTAGTACTATGCCATTGTATGATATGGCTCTTGGACATATTTCTGGTTTCTCCAGTGCTGCCAGTATTGTGGCATATTGTATGTTTCATTCGGGTATGTGTAAAACCAGTTCACTATGTTCCATTGCCACATGTCTCTGTGTACCCTGTGTTCTGTCATTGGATTTCATTATTTTTTTCTTAGCTGGTAACTTGTGCCACCAAAAAAATACATATGCAATGGACCCTCCCGTTTTGTCTTTAATTCATTCCAGAGAGTCCAACGAAATGTGAAATCAGCTAAATCTGAAACCATTTTCCCCATAAGAAATAATGTAAATCCAGTTAATCCGTTTCAGACATCCAAAAGTTTCAACAAAAAATACATTTTATAGAGAAGAACTATATTTCACGGCTTATTTATCTATCACAATTCGTCTAGTGTGACATAATAAACAATATTAATAACATAGAAACATGATATAACCTACCATCCGACTTAAGACCTGCTCGACATATGTCCATTTGACTTACGACCGTGCATCTGGCAGCTGGGCTGGGGTGGCTGATGCACACCACTGTACAATATTTGACAATACTCGCGGGGGGCAATGTGTCATGCAGGCAGCATCAGTTTGAGTAACCCTGCCCTATCAGCAGCATCATACTGTATTAACTGTACTAACTGGACAGTAAATTTCACCATGGCCCCTAAGATGAAGTCTGAATCTTGCACTGGAGATTGTGGCAAGAAAGGCTCTTACTCTCGAACTCTCTATTTGTTTTCACTGTTGCACATAAATCTGTCTGTATCTGTCTGCCTGTATATCTGCCAGTATCTCTGTGTGTCTGTTTGTCTGTCTACTAGTGTGTCTGTCTTTCTGTCTACCTGTGTGTCTGTCTTTCTGTCTACCTGTGTGTCTTTA